CTCTCTCTCTCTCTCGGTCTCTCTCACTATCTCTTGTCTGTCTCTTAGGTCCTTTTTCCAAGAAACAAAATAATGTCATGTCCAAGTTACTTTCTCCTCAACTCAATCATAATCCTTCAAATATTTCTAAGTTAAAATCACTGTGTAAAGTTCTAAAGTTAATACTTTAGAACAGAATCTCCCCATTGACAAAAGTTAATTTGCTATCAGGAAAATAAAAAAGTTGGGGAGAAAACTCCTCCAGTGTTTTTGTTTTGTTTTGGAGCCACGTCTGGCGATGTTCAGGGGTTACTCCTGGTTCTGCATCTAGGAATAACTCCTGGTGGTGTTCGGACTATATGGGATGCTGGGGATCGAATCCAGGTTGATTGACTGCATGGCAAACACCCTATTCACTGTACTACTGCTTTGGCCTTTACTCTTCCAGTATTTCATCTGCTATTTCTTCCCTCCAAAATGGAACAATAGTACCTAAAGATCTCGTCCCAAATGAAGGCAGGGCCAGAGAAAAGGTAAGCAGCACCTGGGGGACCCTGAGCAGAGAGTGCAGCCTGAACAGAGCAGACTAGGTGTGAGGTGCCAAGATGACCCTTGGAAATACTAACGTGTTCCCCATCATTTAGATAAGACGGCTGGCAGTGGCCTTTTAAGAGAGAAACATGTTACATTAGGGTCAGGGGTGCAAAGCAAAGGAAGAGCCCAACCACACTCAACCCCGGCAGCACACTGCGTCTCCAGCACACACAGCACCACACTCACGCCCTACCTGAACTAACTGTCAGGCTGAGTGAGTACTGTCGAGAGTGGCCCCTGCTCCCAGAGCACTGCCTGGGAGGTCCCCAAATGAATGAAAGGTAACAATAAAAGCAAACACATAGTTTTATGTAAGAACTGTTTTCTCCACATGCTACAACATATTAAAAACCAACTTAGAATTCTTTGGCAAATGAACTAACCAGCCTAATAATTGTGTTGTCTTGCTAACTGACCTGCACAGAATTTATTTACTGAATAAGTAAATGCCTCAAGGCTGGAGTCCCCAGGGCTGAAATCACTGCCCAGGCTACACTGTAGTGAGCTGCACTCAAATCCCTCTTCCTTAGAAAGAATCATCGCTATCTTCAAGGAGAAAGCTCGGACTATGAAAGCTATGGAACGATAGGTTAGATTCCATTCCCAGAAATTTGGCTTACCTGCCTTATACATAAAACTCATTACTGATTGTTTAAAATGGAAACATAACAGAAAAATGTTATGAGTGACTTTTCTTTAAAAGTAATATGGAGATGGCAAGATGGACAGTACAGGGGTTAAGGAATCTGCCTTGCATGCAGTTGACACTCGTTCAATTCCTGGCATCACAAAAGTCCTCCAAACACTGCCAGGAGTGATCCTTGAATACAGGGCCAAAAGTAAGCCCTGAGCACAGACAAGGATAGCCCCCATACAAAAAGAACAAACTTAAGGATCATACAGCTATGAGTTGGCATGGACTCTCTGCCTGCTTTAATAATGCCACCATACCAAAGGCCCACTAATCTGCCACCAGCAACCTGTTGAGCCCCTTTTGTGAGCAAGGGTGGAATAAGCCTAGGTGAGAAACTGGGATAACAATCACAATTGGAAAAACAACTGAATCCAAAACAGATAAATGTGACCTTAGCACAAGCTCTATAAGCTCACTCCCTTTAAGGTCTGTTCTAGTAAGAGAAATGACAAAGAAAAAGGAGATGATGTCTTCTATGATGCGCAATCAAACCCAAACGTAATGGCCAAGGCACGCTTGGTCTCTGCATACTATCACTTTTATTAGGATCAACTAGACCTTCCCCAGCTATCCCTCCCACCCCGGCTTTAAAATCATTTATATAAGTACTCTGGGAAGGTGTGATCAGCGTATGCTACCATCTGTTACAGCCAATATGGGAAAGCATTGTCGCTTTTCAAGCATTTCAAAACCAAAGAGAGAACCAAAGACATTTAAAAACAAAGTGCTGATAGGGTAAAACGGCAAACTTAAGAATGCCAAATTTTTATTTTTTTAAAAAAATTTTTATTAATGAAACACCATGAGGTACAGTTGTAGACTTACAAATTTTTGTGCTTGGGTTTCAGTTATACAATGATTAAACACCCATCCCTCCACCAGTGCCCATTCTCCACCACCACTGATCCCAGTATCCCTCCCACCCCCCATCCCCCTCATCCCACCCTACCTCTGTGGCAGGACATTCCCTTTTGTTCTCTCTCTCCTTTTGGGTGTTGTGGTTTGCAAGAGAGGCATTGAGTGGCAATCATGTTTGGTCTATAGTCTACTCTCAGCACGCATCTCCCACCTTGGGAGGATCCTCCCAACACCATTTGGTGCTCCCTTCTCTATCTGAGCTGCCTTTTCCCCTAGCGTGTGCGGCTGGCCTCCAAGCCTTGGAGTAAACCTCCTGATACTTATCTCAGCTATTCTTGGGCGTTAGTCTCCTATTTTGCTACTTTATGTTCCCCAGATGAATGCAATCTTTCTATGTCTGTTCCTCTCTTTCTGACTCATTTCGCTTAGCACGATACTTTCCATGTAGTACCACTAGTATATAAATTTCATGACTTCATCTTTTCTAACAGCTACATCATACTCCATTGTGTAGATGTACCAAAGTTTCTTTAATCAGTCATCTGTTCTCGGGCACTCAGGTTTTTTCCAGAAGAATGCCAAATTTTTTTAAAAACCTGCTCCAAATTTTTCATTCAACTTTGTTATCAACAAACTTTCCACGGTGAATCAATCCATTCTGTTTATAGTCTATGTAAGTTACCAATCACTAACAGGTTTCATGATTGGACTAAAGCTAAATAATGTCCAGCAGATAATGTGAATTCCCAGATGATCCTTTTCACTACTATTTAGACAAAGCAAATCTCAGTGGCAAACTAAACAACCTGGTTGAGAAGAACATATGCCCTAAACACTAATTAGAAAGCTAGGTTAATAACTGGGCTTAATCAGCAATCCTGAGTTTTAAAAATTATTTATATGGAGGAAAAAAACACACTGGTTCATAGTTTTATTATTTTAATTTAATGGAGCATCACAAGTAGTACTCAAGGGCCCTCTCAATCAACAGCTGGATGTGAGGGCCGAGGAGCAGGAAGGATACACCGGATAGTGCCTGGGGGAGAGCATGTGGTAGTGGGGATCCAACCCTGTACTTTCTCCCTATTCCCAGGATATTTTCTTTCATTTTTTTATTTGGAGGCAGGGATGCAGAGAGGGGACAGCTCACATTCGGTGGCCTGCTCAAGGACTGCTCCCAGTTTATTGCTTGGGAGGACAGGGGGAGACCAGTGGTGCCGGGCCTGCACTCAGAACTACTGCATATAAAGCATGTGCTGTAGCCCTCTGAGCCATCTTCCTGCCCCCTCACACTGCATTTTAAAGTTAGTCATAGACATAACACAGAAGCTTCACTTTCTATGGTCTCAATTCTGTTAGTCCCACTCCTTTGTTTTACTCCCCTTTATTTGCAGTCATTGCCATTTGGCAAAAGAGAGGTAAATATGCATCATCTACTTGGGAAATGAGAGGTAATCTCTTCAGTCAAAACAAAAAAACAAAAAAAACCCAGCACTCAGAAACCCCCTATGTCTGATAAGTGTCAAGGAGCAACAGGTCACACAGATAGAATGAGTCCCCTCACAGGAGGAAAGAGGCCACGGGGGCAGCTGATGAATCCATCACTCTTCTATGTGCTTCAGAGTCTTTGAGTCTCATACACTTAACCTAATTGCCAGTCTATCAATGTGCCATTAGTAAAAGAGAAAAGTTATAAGTTTTCTTCAGTAGCTGTCTATATTGTAAGTATAACTATCATAAGCCAACTTTACAACATTACTAAGTAAGGGTTAAAGCTCTTGAAACTTGTTCTTTCCAACGGCAAGCTCAAATGTCAGGCATTAATAGGGAGTACAAGTAGGCAGCTGTCATTCTGCTAGGTCTCCAAGGGTAACTAGTGGTACCAGGACTACCATGTTTCTGCAACCCCTCAGATGGGCAATGACCACACTGTTCACTCCAGAAGAACAATAAGAATCATCAGAGTCCCTGAAAACAAATGTGATTTTAAACAATAGTTAAAGAAATCATTGATAGGAATTTCCCAGATTTGAAGATTACAGGCCTAAAGATCCAAGAGGCCTGAAGGGTCCCAGTGAAATCAGGCTCACTTAAGAAAACACCAAGACACATTATACTCAAAATGACAAAATACAAAGAGACAGAATACTGAATGCAACAAGATCAAAAGAGGAACTCACATACAGATGAAAGCCCATAAGATACAGAGCAGATCTATCAAATGAGATGCTATGAGCCAGAAGAATATGGAAGGATATAGTATAAAAACCTCAAGAAAATGAACATCTCACCTAGGATATTCTATCCAGCAAGATTATTATTCAGATTTGAAGGAGCTATACACAGCTTCATGAACAGGCAAGAGCTTAGGGAATTCACAGACTTGAAACTAGTTTTATAAGCAGCATTAAAAGAGATCCTTTAAAGTATAGGAGACACTTCCCAACATGTAGCATTGAGTATGGCACTCACTACTGCTGTATATGGTTGTCCTCTACTAGATTTAAAAAGGTTAAGAACATATGATTAATCATGACAAACTGACTTTTATTTACTGATAATCCTATTTGCCACTCCTTTAAGTTTTACTGGACCAAGGACCATGAAATAAAATTTTTATATGCCTGCCAAGGAGGCAGGCTGCAGGGTGGGAGAGAACATGGAAATATTGGTGGAGAGAAGGGGACACTGGTGGTGGGACTGGTGTTGGAATGCTGTTTGCCTAGAACAACTCACTTATGAACAACTGTATAAATCACGGCGTCTCACTAATCATTCTTGGGGGGGAAAAAACAGAAAACTAAAAACTGTATTTTTACTGAAACCAAAATCTACTTTGGTGGTAACTTAAACATTACTGCTGGCATTACTTTACCTGAGGGCACAGGGCTTCAAGCTGGCTTGCAGACATTCGCACAAGCTTCACACCTTCCTCATTATTTGAGATGGAGCAGGCCAAGTTGGCAACCTGTAGGAAGGAAACCATATAAAGATCTTAGAAGAGTTTTCCCTTCAGACTGCATGCAAATGTTTATTTTTTCCGCTACCCCCTTTACAGAACAAATGGCAGAAGCACCAATAAATGTCTTATTTCTTACAGACTGTATCAGCTTATGAGACAATTTTTTTAGTTCTGTGGTAAGGAAGTTATTCAGACTCTTAACAAAACACCTGTAAAATGATGACAGAAACTTGAAAGATTTCCAAAGCCTATGACTCATGGGCTTTACCTGGGCTCAGAACTGTCTAAGTTGAACACATGCATTTCAGATAGAAGTTATCCTGGTACAAGCAATAATGTGAGAAAAGCTAAGGAACCAAGGGCACCAGAAAAAAACTGTTGGTATTCTCATATAAAAATGTACTTTGCAGCTGTTTTTGAAGGAAGGAAATAAAAGCTCTCAGTTGCTAGTCTCATTTTATGGCAAATGAGTGTTTAAGACAGATTAGTTTTATTTGAACACAAGGCTATTTTTCAAACAAACAAACAAAAAGCATTAAGACTACATAAAGATGGACCCAAGGCCATCTTCATCAGAAATAGAAGAAGAAACAGGGCTGATGTCCTATAGCTAAGAGCAAAACTGTCCTTCAGCAGGGTTCTCTAAAAGCTGACAGCTGGTCTCTTTGCTGAATGATGCTGCTTCAGTTGAACTAGAATCTTTACCTACCCATTCAACTATCTCAGTGATACTGCTCATGTAGCCAGAAACAATTTTTCCAAATTGTGTCATCTTTCTTCTACTGAAGCTCTGGCTGTGCTGTGAATGTTGCTCTGTGGAGACTATGTCTGTGATCACTTAACCATGTTTCTAAATGAATAAGCTTGCCAATTCCATTAGCAATACCACAGACCAACTAAATATGTGGTTCCAAGACATATCTTCCCCTGCAAATTAAGTTATGAATGATATGGCAAAAGCAACAGCAAATCCTGAGATTTAAAAGCCAGTAAATAGGGCAATGGCAATAACCTCTGCTTTGCATTCCTACAGCTAACTTAAGGAGCCGGATAGTACAGTGGGTGGGGTGCTTGCCTTGCACATAGCTGATCCAGGCCCCCAATACTTCATATGGTTCCGAAGCCCTGCCACAAGTGATCCCTGAGTGCTGAGTCAGAAGTAAGCCCTGCGCATAGTTAGGTGTGGTCCAAACCAAAAATTAAAAACATCCAACTCAAGCAAATAAATGCACAAAAAATTGCACGCTATTATGGTTGTTCTTTGCAGTTTTATAGGTAATAATTACCGGTTTTCTAAGATTGCTAATCACCGGAATCCTGCAATGCATAAGCATCATGAAACAAAGGAACAAACATACAATTTAAATATGTATATGGAAGGAAACTGGAAACTAAACAGATCTATAATACTTAGGGGTCTTGAAAATCATATGAAGGAGCACTTACACTCTGAAGATTCCTGTTCAGCTTTGATGTCAACTGAACCCGAGCAATTCTCTTCATGATGATAATCTACAGAGCTGATTATTGCTGTTTATTTTTTGCTTGTGCTGAAGGCCGATCTTATGACTTCATATATGCAAGTCACGTGTTTTATAACTGGCCCATGTCCCCAGACCACCAATAGATTTCTATGCTTAAAAACTGCCACAATATATAATCTAAGGTAAATTTTGCAGAACATGCAACTGCTCAAAAAAATTATCCCTCAATTGTGTACTTGTAATGATGCTACATTTAAGGAGAGAAAAATTTGATGTGTCTACAAATCTGGAATTTCTATTGGTTGTTTCACTATCTAAAAAAATCATTCTTAAAAAACAAGTATAAAATCTGAGGTTGACTGCAGAATTAATAGCAGAATTACTAGAATAGCTTCTATTTCAATTTAATTATCCCAATTTTTAAATAGGAAAAATAAGAAAAGGCTATAGTAGGAATTCTAAACTTGAGATCACACATATGATGAATGGTTGGTAGTTAAAAGCTGAAATGGAAGAACCATCTTCCCAGTTTCAAATATCATCTTTCCTGTTTCAAACACCAATAAACAAAGGACAAAGAAGACAGTCCTGTGGGCCAGAGAGATAGTACAGTGGGTTGGGTGTTTGCCTTGTAAGTGGCAGACCTGAGTTTGACCCCCGGCATCCTATAGGGTCTCCTGAGCACTGCCAGAAATGACTCCTAAATGCAGACCCTGGAGAAACCCAAACACTACCAGGTGTGTCCCCCCACCCCAACAAACAAACAAAGACTTGGTTTTTATTTTAAAACATGTCTTTAAAAACATTTTTTGATGTATGGTTGAAGCAGCAATGTTCTCTCCAAGAGTACATAGGGCTTGCTTCTGGAAGTCATCTTGCCTGGCCTACCAGAAGTAAGCAGGCACACCGTCACCAACAGTCCTCTCCAGATGAACAAGTTTCAATTCACCCTCCAGCGACACGGCTACTCACATATTACAATGGCAAATGTGCAAATGCAACACCCCAACCACAGCTTTCTGAGAGTTTAGCCTCATCTACCAGTGCCAGCCTCGCTTACAGAGAAAGCTGAGGGTAGTGGGAATAAAGGTGGGCTTGTTTCTCAATGCTCCTTCTGGGCTCCAGAAATCCAGGATAACAACACTGAGATGGAAGAAGATTCTGCTGTTTAAATTTTTAAAACTCAGAGCGGCTAATTTCCAGAGAACCTGGCAAAGCTCTGGCTTTGTAGAGTGATGAGCAATATCTCTAGTTTTATTCTGGGAATAAATTTTTATGTTTCTGTTACCACAGTAACTTGCACATTAGCAACTTAAACATCTTTGTTCTTGCATATCCAAGAGGTGAATGCAGACTGACACTGTGATCACATGCTGTGAAGTCATGAAGGCCCCTTTTCCCTTACTTTAGCCTATTTCAAGTGAATTTTGGACCTTGCAGAAACTTGTGATCCTCTAATTTAAAAAAAAGCAGCCCTGGGTTGTTTTATTGTCTTCCCCTCCACCCTCATTTTGGAAGGAGCCCAGTAATTATGATATGGAGGAAAAAGAGTCTCAGGCTGTGTCAAACCAACATAAACAACATTTATACGGAAGCACAAGCTATTTTAAAGACATTTAGTATAGTTCTATCTTTATTACAGACCATATTTTCTTAAATACAAAGTATAAAACAAATTTCTGTGGTAGAAAATATTCCACTAATGAAATCTTTCTTCTATCATACATGTGCTGAAGACTTTAACTAAAGTTCAAATTTGTTTCAAATACAAATTGTTTTGACTGTTCTAGGTTTTATATTTGGCTGAGATGTTCACTTATCCCTTATTCTGAAATCCTGGCAGGAAGAAAAGAAGGTATTTCCTACTTCTTTCAAAAAATGAATGACCTATTCTTTTAACACTCTATACACACTATGGAAGTAAAACAGTAAGAAAAACAGTAAGAAAGGGAGCTTTTAAGTTTTATTGTCGGGGGCTGGAGAGATTGTACAGCAGGTAAGGTGCTGCTGTGCATGTAGCTGACCCAGTTTTGATTACCAGCTGGACCCTGCCAGCAGTGGTCCCTGAGTGGAAAGGTATGACCTGAGTCCTGGCCAGTTGTGTCTCAAAAACCAAAAAGCCAAAGTAAGTCAAAGCAATGTCATAAAATATAAGGAGCCGGTCACAAGGGTTCAAACTCAGCTGCTAGGTTCAAACCTGGACTGAGTCAAACAATCACTTGATTTTCTTCCTTAAAATATCTGAATATTCAAAAACTTCAAAATAACTCCCAAATCAAAAATTCTTAGTCATAAAGAAAATCCAACTCTAAGTTATACAGATTCAGAACCACTCAAGAAATTCCAACAATTTCTTCTAAAGAGAGGAAATGAAGCAAAAATGTAAGTTAAGCTTCCATTTTTCCAATTTCCAGAGAAAGTGTTGGAAAAAAATCAAGGTTAAGGCAATAGTACATGGGCTAAGGCGCTTGCCTAGCACAGGGATGACCCCAGTTCAAATCCAAGCACCTCATATGGTCTCCAGATCACCGCCAGGGACTAAGTCCTGAGTACTGTCAGCTGTGGCCCAAAACAAAACAAAGAGACCTAGAGGAAAAAAATTACATTCTTGGGGGCCAAAGAGATAGCACAGTGGGTAAGGTGTTTGCCTTGCACATGGCTGATCTCGGTTGATCCCTAGCATAGCATAAAGAGCATTGAGCACTGCCAGAGGTGACCCCTGAGTAGAACCAAATGTAAGCCCCGAGCACTGATGGGTTGTTCCTTCACAACCCTCAGCCCTTTTCAAAAAAGAACTGAATTATTTAAAGGGCTGGGATGTGCTATAGCAACAGAACTTAATCACTTAATCACTTAACTTCCCGTTAGTCGTCGATTTGCTCGAGCGGGCGCCAGTAACGTCTCCATTTGTCCCTGTCGCGTGCTAGTGTAGCCCAATGGCATCTGTTCGCTCCAGGAACATGAAGGGCCTCAAACCGATCGTTCATGATCTTCAGGAAGAAGTCTGACCATCTGGTAGGTGGGCGGCCACGCGGTCTCTTGACATCCCGTGGAATCCAATCAGTAACAGCTCTAGTCCAACGGTCGTCTTTAAATCTCATTACGTGACCAGCCCATCTGATTTTCGACACCTTGGCAAATGAGACAGCGTCCCTGATCCTTGATCGTCGACGGATGTCAGAACTCCGGATTCGTTCTCTCATTTGAGTGAAACGTGATATTCCAAGCATAGCTCTTTCTATTCTTCTTTGGGAGACCTGAATGGCGTTCTCATCTTGTTTGCGTAGGGCCCAGGTCTCTGAGGCATATGTTAATGCAGGAAGAACAGTGGAATCAAAGAGATGTGCCCGGAGCCGAAGGTTCTTCGTCCTCTTAGCTATTTCTTCGACGTTCTTGAAGGCGTTCCAAGCCGCTCTCTTCCTCCTGCGCAGCTCGGGTGCCAGGTCATTTCTCATGTTGACCTCTCGACCTAGGTAGACATAGCTGTTGCATTCGGAGATGGTCGTTCCATTGAGAGCGAAT